TGTAATATGTCTGTATGTATATAAAAGGGTGATGTCACATAGGTTTTATATTGTAACACTACAGAAATTCTTGGGGGTTGCCTAGTAGAATAGAACTCTTGTAACAGAATAGAGAATCAACGTCTGTAGGGCCTTTTTGGACAATGCAGTTGAATAAATCTCACCTAACTTCAGAAGTCTGCAGTGCGGATATGTACATATGAGCTAGTTATCCTAGGCTCCCTTTCTAGCGAATTGAAAGAAATAGAGGCTTTTAAGGTGCAATTCATCTGATCTGTTTTGATGTCTACTTTAAGATGAGACAAAGTGCACCCAGAAGTGACTGCTTCTGTCCATTAACTGTAAAGGGAGTCTGGACAACTAAATTAATTGTAAACACAGAGCCTGTAGGTATCTACATTTAGTCAGATGTATCCCATCCTATGTGTGACTGTGTTGTATGCAATAGTCATGTTTTTGTAGTTTCATGTGTAAGATCAACTTTTTTCCTGCTAAAGACAACTCCGTTTGGTACGTACTTTTGTATCAGAAATGATTACAGAGTGCATTTCCAAGAAGTTGAAAGTGAAACTTTTCATCAGTTTAATTCAAATGTAGCAAAACTGGGTAATTTAATAAGTCAGATAATTGAATTACCTTAGTTTAACTGTGGTCTGTAGTCACGCCACAGGTTCACAAAACATAGGAGTGAATCTTTAAAAATCAGTTTCATTTAATCTGGAATCAAGGTTACAATCATGTTATTTTATGTTACCACGGATAGAATTAGATTGAATGTGTTAACTGTGACTCTGTATTTTCTAGCTTTTCAAAGACAAGTTCAGCACACACATAAAGGAATTTTGCTCCTAATTTTAATTATGGATGCTCTTTACCCAGGTGTGGATGTGCAAGCAAGTTTCTTCAGGGAAAGAAAGACAGTAAATTTAGAGCACTTCAGCTACTGTTGGCTAATTGCCTCATGCATGCTTTTTTCCAAGAGCACTTTGCAGAAAAGCAATGCGTATGTAGCTAATTTCCATGGAGTAGATAACAGGCTCTCAGTTCATGTTCTAGCTTCCTTTCCTACAGCAGTACAGTCCCAGTGCTGAGGCTTAGGAAGTTTGGAATGCGTCACAGGCTATTTGGTGAGCATACTGAGCGATCTCCTGCAAATTATTTCACTATGATGTGCCTCAGTTTCCCTTTAGGTAATATGCAGAATATTGATATCAACCTCTTATTGGTATCAACCCACTTGGAGATTTACTAATGAATAGTGCTTCACAATAGCCAGATAATGCTATTAATCACTGATTGAACATCTAGTATGTTTTTCTGAACAGACTTTTATTAAAATGGGTAGGTACCTATCTACCTACCTACAGGCTCTGACTTAATGTACATCAGATTTTATACTGTCAAGAACAAAGATATGTTTTGTGAATAGGAAAGGATTGCTTTCCACGAGACCTGTTAAACCAATGTACTTTACATCTTGACAGGGTACTGAGTCATCCGCTGCCTGGAGGAAAGCATTTAAATCATCAATAAGTGACCATTTTGCCCTGTAAGAGAGCTAGGTTCACTTCTCAAGACTCGGTATGTCATTCTTCAGCTGGACAAATGTTGGCAGAGCAAAAGTGGCCCCGAGAGTGAAGTGGAGGAGCAGATCGGTTGTATATCAGGGCATTCAGGGAATGATGCTGACAGCTTCCGAAGGGTGTCATCTGCAGTAGAACAGATTTGTGATTTTTGTTGTGATTTACAATTTTTTGTGTAGGTTTAGGTCTAGGTCACAGAAGTTTTCAGAGGGCATATATGGAACTGTAGGTCATCTGGACTCCGTCTAGTTCACTGCTTTCTAAATGCAATGAAAATGCTAGCATGTTTGGCCATTCAGATAACGCCAAGGCTGTATATTCCATTGCTCCTGTAATTGAACTTACTCCCCATCCCTTCCTTTCCTCCCAGGGCCTTCTCTTTAGTGTCATACTCCAAGATGCTCTGTTTAGTAAGTCCCTCTTCCTTATGACAAGTGCTTTCTAATCTTTCTCCCTGTAAACCTATTCCTCTTCATCTCTAATCAGAGTTCCCGTGTTTCGTTTCTCTCCCTTTCCTTCCAAAATCTGGGAATGTATTGATTGCTCATGCTCTTAACAGAGTCACTGTTCTCCATTCTGTGTGCTATCAAAGGGTAAGAAAGGAGAAATAAGTGGTCTTCTCCCATTTCTTCCCTTCTTATTACGTGTCCTTTTTTTCCCTCCACACGAAGGGCTGCGTTTGCTCCCCAGTTTCTCCTCCCTTCTCTCCAAGACATTCCCCCTCAGGGTTCTCTGCTTTTCTGTTTTTCCCCTTTCCCTTCCCTCTCTTTTTCTCTTTTCTCTATTGCTCCCCAGCAGATGAGTGATCCAGATAGGTAAACTGTGTGGGGAAGATAGCAGAGCTGGGACAAGTATATTGTTGTTCTGGAAGCTGTTAATAGGACTTATGGATTTCCTGAAAGTAATTAATTGGTGGAAAGTACTTCAAAAGTAGCTGTGAAAAGACATAGATCCTGAGAGGGCAGTCCTTCCTTTGTGCATTAGATTCCTTATTCAGTCTTTACTTGCTGTTTTTATTTTCTTTGCTAAATAAAGGCCAGCTGTAGTTCCATCCAAGATGTGGCTAAATGCTAGCTGTGAGAGCAATTTTATAATTATTTTATGTCTGTCTAACTGTTTCTGGTTTCTGGATAGAAAAAGACTTTATAGGTAAGATCTTATGAAGAAATTTCCTTGCTTACTTCTCCCAGAAATCAGTAGAGTAAGGTACGTGTATAAATATGTGTCAGTTGTTACTATGTGAAATTTAGATTCTGTGAAAACAAGAAGACCCTGAAATACTAACACATGAATAGGAAAAAGGATGTGCAAGGAGTGGAAACTTGGCTTTGCTGGTAGAGGTTTGGACTGATACTTTTTATATAAGTCCCATTTTGGCTGTGCTTTGGTTCTGTTTTGGGCTGGCCTAGTTACTTACTAGATCCTGAAATATTTTTAGCTATGTATATCCTATTTATATGCTTAAACATCTGTGAGGACTTTAGTCGTTCTGTTCCTCTGGTAAAATGAAGGTAATAATGCTTCCTGACCTATGGTCTTGTCTGTTCAGATAATAACCTGTTTGAGCGAGGGATTATTTTCTATGCTCCTCTGTGTATTCCAGACATGACTGGTCTCCCGGTAAGATTAGGTACCACCATAAAAACATAGCATAGTGTTAATAATGCGAACACCATCTTTTGGTTTATCCACTGTTCAATTCTTATAAGCAATTACAAACATCTCCTGAATTCATTTCATTTTTTTTGCTTCAGTTATTTTACTAACTGTATATTATTTGTTGTTGCCACCTATAAGAAGAACTTGTCATATTTTATTATGATTTACCAATATTTTACTAATCAATCTTTTTGATTATTTCATTATTCAAATTTTTGAAAACAGGCAATATACAAAAATCAGTGGAGCATGTGTTAAACAGGACTAAAAACTGGAGAACTGTTGAATCCCAAAACTAATTTTAACTTTAATCTAGCAGGAAAAAGACATAATAAAATCTTGTTTGGAAAGGTGAAACTAGAGAAATTCAAATTAGTAAAAATAGTTTACATTTTAACTGTGAAAGTAAGTATTACTTGTGACGAATTATGTAAGATTGTAGAAGATTTTTCTTGTCTTGAATCTTTCTAAAATAGATGCTCTTGGAGAAAGATAAACAAAAGGATTTTTGCCTAAATTACCGTTTGACCTCTATTAATGCAGTAAGTCATATTACACTATTGTAATAGTCCTTTTGGCTTTAGAACCTGTGAATTTTTGAATCTGTAAAATGTGTTTTTTTTTTTCTAATAGAGCATTAACCTTATTCCTGAACCTACCTCTATATTGCTATTGAAGTCTAATATCCTGATTTCCTATGTCCTTTGATTCACTGTCTTTAAATCAAGAGTCCTGCCTCTAGTACAATAATCGGTAGTACTACGTGTAATATTTGAGTAATAGGATTGGAAGGCTGGTTTTCCTGAAGTTGAACTGCAAAGTAGGTATTATAGCTAAATCATCAAATCAGATGTGTATAGATATATCTACTTGAAGTAAAGCACCTGTGCTTTGTCCTACTGAGAGGGAATGAAAAAACACACAAGGAGTGCCTTTAAGAAAGCTAGTCTAGCAAGTGTATCTCTGTTTCTTGGTGTAAGTACTGTGAATTAGAATCACCTGTGAAACAAAAGACATTCTAAAATCTCTCTGTTTTGCCTGAAGGGACAAGGGATAAGAACTAATGTAAATAGAAAAAGTATATTATACAAGTACTTTCCTCTTTGCATGACAGTGTGAAAGATAAGAAGCTGACTGTTAATAAGTTGAATGTTGATATTCGCATCATATAAAATTCTTATGAAAACGAGCCACTTCAAGATCATCAGATCTTGAGGGCTTTCACAAAGGAACATAGTATCACTAAATCCTATTATACAATAGTATAATTAAAATAAAAATATTATGAATAATCACTGTGGTAGAATTTATAGCTCTAGTTAGCATGGACTAGGGCTAGTTAGCATTAATTTTTGCCCTCATTTAAAACTGTACAGTACAGCCAAGTGCATAGAATGGCCAGAGGCAACCCGCTGTGAAGCTGACACATCTCTGCTTCAACAGTGGAGAGTATGTTTTATGACTTGCACCTTATTCAGTGTATAGTGCAGGATATTAACAATATCAGTCTACTTACTGATCAGTCTTTTTTATAAGCATCTGCGTTATCTTCTCTGTCTTTTTTCATTCCAACTCCACTAAAGATTATATTAATCACAATATTAACAACTTTTTTGCTTATCTAAAATTCATTTTTAAAGAAGATACAAGTTTCTAAGAGGATAATGTTGGATGCAATTGCATACTGCAGATTGTTCCTGTTGTATAATATTGAGGTGCAAAACAAGTAACTTCTTTTTTCTGTATTTTTTCACATAGGGTGCAGCTTTAATTAGAATGTTGGCTAATTTTATGGGTCACTCCGTGTTTCAAATGGGCTTACAAGTAAGTAAGGACATTTCTGTCTTCGTGTAAGTATGCATAATCTCTCTCTTCTGTTCTCTTAAAAAAAAAAAAAAGTTTACATGTATTTGTGGGAATTTTCCTTGACTTTAGGACCATCTGAGACACCTGCGTGTCCCTGAAGCCGAATTTAATAGAAATTGTTGAGTAGTGTAAAACACACAACATCATTGTCTCCATAAATGAAAGTCCCATCTGTATTTCTCAGTGTATCAAGTGATTGCACTTCAAGTGCCACGCAGCTTTATTTCCGTTTGTGCACCTTGCAATACAGAAGCCATTTTTAACCATGTGCAACCTCTGTGAAAGGTCTAGCAGAAGAAAGAGCTACTTCTTTTCAATTACATTTACATGCAGATATGAAAATAATAATAAATGTTCGATCAAGCTAGAAAATGCACAGCTCTAAAACTAGTAAGGTTTCTCAGATAAATATTTTTGCATTCCCTTCACTCCTATTAAAATCCTTGAGCTTTATTTTTACCTTTGATGAGCATGGAGCTCTCTCTACCGTAATGGTATTTTGAAAACTCTTTTTGCTTTTTAAAAGAAATGTGAGGACGTAACATTTCTGTACGAAGAGAAAGAAATGCAGCGTGCTGATTGCCAAGGCTGAACTCTTTTCAGTAATAATTCAGGGCAAATGAATGTTTTGTAAACTATTTAAAAACAAACAAGCCAAAGTATAAAAAAACAATGTGACTCTCTCGATTCCATTGAAATCTGCGTGAGTAAATCATGTTACAGGCAGCTGTGATTGATGAATTATGTATGATGCAGCCTGCTACTTAGAAGTGTCCTTTAAAGTAAATTGATGTTCACCTGAAATACAATTATGCTAAGATGGAAAGAGTAATCAATCTTATCTGTTCTTAGTAAGCTTTTCATTTTGAAATTTAAATAAACTACATCTGGGATCAGGTCATATTTTAACACAATAATTCTACCTCTAACCAAAATAAATTGGAAGATAAAATATAAAACAAAAGTTAAAGAAATACACTAGTTGTGTCCTAGAAACGTATGTTCAATGCAGTAGGCAATGAAAGAAACCCTGCTGGGGAAATATGGCTTTTTTGGAGAGCTAATGGGACATTCAGGTTTTAAAGGATAATTTATTCATGGGACCTCACTGGCTCTTTTTGTTAGGTATAACATGAGGTCAGGTCAGGAGTTATTCTTCTTCCTACCCAGAAAAGAGGTCTTAAACTTAAATTTTCCTTCATGCAGTCTTATCTACATAAAGGATGAAATCCTCATCTCATTTAAGCCAGTGAGACCTGTATCATTAGTCCAGCAAACTCCATATTCCAACCAGAAACTTTTGCGTGCACAGATCCATTCATATAGAAATTCAACAGCACTTCTTCCCAAAAAGGCATTCCAGTCAAGATTTCAGAAGAAGAAGGCTTTACTACACACATGTCAAAACTTCTTTTGCTATTTCCTTTTACGGTTGCCTGAGAAATATAGTGTGAAAGTTATCCTGAAATAAATTTAGAACAAAGTTCAGATCAAAGAATAGGGTTATGCAGGGATTAAATACTCATAATCACCATAAAGTTGTAATGGAGCTTTTTTTTTTCTTCTTTACTTTGAGTGCTTTCCTATTGTTTCTACTTTTCAAAGAAATCAAGATAGCTTGGGGATGAAACAAAACACTTATTATATGACAAAGAAAACAATCAATTCTGTTAAAATGGAGAGGAAAAAAGTTGCTGTAGAGAAGAAGGTAGGGCTCCTTGTTGGATATTCTTTAAAAATGAACGTGAGCTGAAGCAAATGTACAAAGGTGCCCATGATCCCTACTATTCAGCAAACTATGTCTGCAAGCAAGTAAAATTATAGCAGTGACACTCAGTTTTACAGCATAGATGGGTTTGGAGAGATGCATATTTATTGAGAATAACTGATCTGTTCCTGTTACTGTAAACATATTTGTTAGAGACAAATGGATTATAGTGTGGAACTTCCATGGTAAAATTGGAGCCAGGAGACTACCTAGAGAAAGTATGTTTTTCTAGAAGCCCTGCAAAGACATACGGTATCTTGAATTGTGCTATTTTCAAACTTAAGATTTAGTAATAGAAACGTAATTTTCTCAGTATTTTCATATAGCACTCTATAGACAAAACAAAAAGTGAACGTGTTTTTACTGACTGTGATGAATAATTGAATAATGATTGTAATAGCTACAGCTGGTAAAACTTGGACACGACAAAGTAACGACAATTATTTTTGTAGAAAACATTTAATAAACTCTTCTTTCTCACACAGTGAGATTTCTCTGTTTTTTAAAATCATGACATTTTTCATGGTATTCAAAGTTTTTTGTGTTCCTAGGGAAATAAAAGAAGGGGTACATGTCACTAAATACCAGCACTCTTTTTACGAAGTGTTGTTGCTTTACTGTCAAAAAGCCATTAATCAGCTAGGGTAGCTATTAGATTATGGAGAGGCTTGGTCACCACCACTTGCTCTGATTATGCTTCTGAATTGAATAGGCTGGTGGAGGAAGAAGTTATAAGTTGGTCCTATCATTCAGTCATCACTTAGGGGAGTAATAAGCAATACAATTTTGGATTTGGGTGAGATTTTCGTCTGTTGTTCCTAATCCATGTGCTTGAAATGGATTGTGACTGGTGTCATGACTGAGGTCACTGTATTACATTCCTTGGAAAGCGTTACTGCTTTATAGCAAGGCACCTCTTCAAGTTATCAGTGTTGCTTTTTTCGTATTAAACATGGAGAGAAAGCCTGGTCATTTGAAGGTCCAGTACTTAGATGTGTTTAAAGCGGCACCCTAACTCTGTTAAGAGATTCTTCTGTTCTAGTTACATTACTTCTTTCTTATATTTGGGCTGATTATTTCAGAGCTTTATCTCTGAAATACATTGTCAACATTGTATCTCTGAAAGTACATTTGTCAACATTGCATTTCATTTGCCATGTGGCAGCTCATTGATCACATGGATCTGTATCCTTTTGAACTTCACTTACTCCTGTGTATGTGTTCATCACTCACTCTGATTTAGTGCATCGTCAGCAGTTTGAATTAGTTACTGTGGGAATCTTTGCTTCTGTGATAAATTAACTGCTTTTGTTCTTTAGGCTGCACACTGTACATTTGGAAGAAGAATTTTCATACAGTTCTTTGGATATACACTATATTTTTTGGTGCTGTTGAGTGGCCACTGTATTGAAACAAATTGTTCAACCTTTCAGAAGAAACGTCTGGGGAAATGTGACATGCAGGCTGTTAAATACAACAATGTTCAGATTCCAATCATTTTTTACTATCATAAAGCCAGCTAGTTAGACAGAGTTTCTTTCATGCTATACTGCGTATTATTTCCCTCTTTTTAGACATACATATGCATACCTGTGCTTCTTGTTGAATTGTTTTGGCAGTTTTGAATGTGAAACTCTATCAGAAACTTTCTAGATGTAAAATAAAGCTCTTATGCTATTTTCCTTGTTGTTTGCCACTTCTGTGCAGAAATCTAGTAGCAGAAGAAATGTATGCATCTATTTCCACAGTCTATTTTAGAATTATTTTTACATAGTATGTTAAATAGTTTTCCGTGTACCCATTTTATCTATTTATTATGTCTTTATTCCTAATTCATGACAGTTAGCTGTATGCTGTTTAATATTAGACATGATTAGGAACTTCTTAATAGAGTGTTCTGTAAAAAACAAAAATATCAGGCACCTTAGGGTTGGATTTCATGTTAGATCAGTGTTTACAGTAAGGCAATGAGCTATGATGCTGTCCCCAGAAGAGCAGTACACATGGAACTGCCTGTAGTCCTCCTCAACTCAATGGGAGGATGTAGCTTGTACGACCAGCAGGATCATCTTGACAGATGTTGCACCTCTGGTGCTGCAACTCTGCTAGCTAGTGTATTTAGTAGGTGTTGAGTAATGTCCTTTTCAGCTGATTCTGTACCCATTTGCTGTGGTTTAGAAGAGCACTAAGTATATGACTGTCTCTTGGGTGCCTAATATCTTATGTCACTGTATCAACGTGGTCATAACAGCCATGACCTGCCCTTAAGTTAATTGCTATTGATGATGCTTTTTTTTCTTCAAACTGCCTTACTTCAACTGACAGTTGTCACCAGGACAGCCTGAGCATGTTAATAGTAGAACATAGGAAGTCTTTCAGAGCTCACATCACTGTTTTTTGCACTACTTGTCTTAAAAGAGATTGATAGCATCTTCTGCCTTCTTCTGCCCTTCAGTGTTTCTCATGCTGCTGCTTTACATCACTCTGGATTTTGGGTTTACATTTGTTAAATGAATTCAATGCTAGGTTTTGGTTTTGTTTTGTACCCTTTCCCACCCAGATATAAGGAGTTAATAAAAGTTTCTGTAAGAAACATCTGCAAGATCCAGTGTTACAACATTTTTTCTGTTGAAAGGGCTAAGATTTGCAACATAGTAAGAGCCAGACTTGGAGATCACTGAAGGAAATGGAGGCCTTCCCCTGGCTCCAATATTATTTTGAGTACACCGAATAGCAATATAGCAATAACAAAATGCTTCCTTAAAGAAAAAAAATACAATTTAAGATGTGTAATTAAGTGTTCAATTGTTGAGAAATTCCAGAGTTAATTTTACCTGTGCAATTCTCATTCTTCTTCCATTCTTCTCCTTTTTGTATAGGCCTTGACCAGGGTGTTTAATTATGCCATTGCCCAGTATTTTCTATGTAGGACAATGTCTCATTCCATTCACAAAGTGGACCACACTAGCTGAACGGTCCCTCTATTCAATATTTTTGTATAGTTTTCATTTATTTTGTAGCCCCAGGCCTTAACTGCTACATATGATCTCATCTGGAAGACAGACTTTTTTCATGGCATTTTCTCAAATGCCGACCAGTATGGTATCAGAGTAACAAACTGTAATTTAACAGAAGACATGAGCTTCATGGGGAGGCAAAGGGTGGTGCTAGACTTATTTTATAAATGCAG